CTCTCTCTCTCTCTCTCTCTCTCTCTCTCTCTCTCTCTCTCTCTCTCTCTCTCTCTCTCTCTCTCTCTCTCTCTCTCTCTCTCGTTTCACCAACCAGAGAGAAGAGTTAATCCAATGTTGGACGAGGAAAGAGTTATGGCCATGACGGCGATCATAGTAATGGCACTGGCACTGGCAATGGTGATGGGGATGGTGATGGTGATGGAGATGGGGTTAGGGATGTTAAGCCACGCAAGAGATTCACAGACACGTGTCCAACCTGTATGACGTCGGCAGCAGCATGCATTACTTTCAATCGACAGGCAACCGCTCTCTGTCGAATGACATACACAAGAACTCGCACGTGGTAACAAACAACGCCTCGATCTGTCGATCAATCGCTCGCCAGTCCTTCCTCTCCGTCAATTGGCAGCCAGCCGTCTTCGATCACCATTTCATCGGACGGATCATATAGCATTGGCGTTAGCAGGGGTCCGGTCAAAGAAGGAATAAGGCGGTGTTGTCGCCAACAGGAAGATGAATGTATATACGCAATATTTCCCGTCAGATGCACGCTAGGCATGAATGCATACAGGCAATCTTTTCCGTCAGATACACGCCGGGGGTCCGTTCGCCGCCATTCCATCCGACGTGGCATATCCCATTACAGTCAGCAATCAAGGGGCCCTCTAAGGCAATGAGGCGCGATCGTCGACCCCATGAATGTATATGTGCAATTTTTACCTTCAGATACACGATAGGTCGGAATGTACACACGTCATCTTTCCGGTCAGATACAGGCTACCTTTCAACTGGCCCAGAGTGATCGTTGCTACTCGAGCTCTGCACAGGCAGCCATGCTCAAGGCTGTCATAACCCACCCACTTGCGCCACTGCATGTACTACCAACAGCGCAACCCCTCATCACAAATGTATATACGTCATCTTTCCGGTAAGATACACACATGATGATGACTGCATGCAGGCTATCTTTCTCGTAAGATACATCATGATGGGGCTGCGTTGTGTTCGGGGGAAGTAAGCCGGCAGCAGCAGGCGCTCCGCTGCGCGCCGCGCCGATCGAGCTCGACTGAAAACCCGCCGAATTGTCACCCCATCTCCCTTCCTCTCGCGCGGGCGCCCGATGCCCCCGTAGGCAGGTAGAGTGATCTGCCCCCAACTGCGCTCCCCCTTCCCCCTCCCCCCGCGGCTCCTTCCCCTTGCTGTTGCTACGTGGCAAATCCGGATTTAACCGGCCCAGTTGCACATGCGCCATGCATCTGGACGCGATTTTGTCCAGCTGCATTCAAATCTTGGCCGCCGGCGAGTGGCGCAACTAACCGCGCGGTCCATGACAGAGATTTCCGCACTCGGATGATGAGATACCCCCTTCGCTCGACCGACGAACCGGTCGCTGACACGTCGGACTACCGGTACAGGAAGATGAAATTTCTCGCGAAATCGGCCGACAGACAGCCAAGCCGGCCGTTGCACTTTTTCTTTCTTTGCTTGTCGTCTCTTTCTTTTGTCTTTTCGTTGTGCAGAAAATCTCCGGGATGCCCCTAAAAGATGTGCCCTTTAGTTATATGCCCCTAAAACGGAGGGGCATCGCAAACTTCCCCTCGTTTGCAAATGCGCCTGTCGGCCTGCGACTATGAACTTTTCTCCATGGGTCTGACCCTGGATGCCTGGTACCGTAACACTTCCCTCTTCGCCATCTGCCCCTCTATTG